GAAGGAGGACAAACATGTCAGGCTGACCAACGCTAACATCACCAAGGTAGCATGCAAGGCCGAGTTCTTGTGTGCATCGAAGAAGGTGGCCTCGTGTGTGAAAACACGTTAAACACTCATTGCAATGACATTAGCCGCCGCACTAGAAATTGCAATTGAATTTGAATTTGGTGGCATTGAATGCCTGTGCCCTGTATGTGTGTTTTGTTTTAGCGCACGATTCCCAGGTTCTCGAGAAGTTCAAGACGTTCGAGGCCGCCAAGAAGAAGATGGAGGAGGCCAAGAGCGAGTGGATGGAGTCGATCGGTGATCGCATCGATGCCCACGCTGAGTGGGAGAACGCGTGCGAGCAGCACGCGAGCATCAAATCAGAGCGCATGCCGCGCTGATGGGGCCGTGTCGGGCGAGGCTTCGCAAGTGCGATGATGCGTTCAGATTCGCAATGGTCCACGTCAAATGATCAGAGGTCACGCCAATCATGCCTTGCATCTGATTAGCATGCCGAGCAAGGGGGTGGACCCATCCAAGTCAGTGTTTGTCAAGCTGCGCCCAGCCGTGGCGACGACGATGGCTGACCCCCCCCCCGCCCCCCGAGAGGACTACCACCCCCCCGAGAGGACTACCAACCCTCGCGCTGTTGGTTGGTTCGACACCCCTGTTGACCTTTGCCTCATCGCCAAGCGTGCACGCGTCATCGTCGTGGGCTCCGTAACCAATTTGGCTCAAACAGTTTTGCGAACTTACATATCGCTTTCTGCTGCGTAGCAGCAGTGACGTCGATACGTGATGTGCTGGCCGAACTCAATCATATGATTGATTGGCATCATACCCAAGTCGGCTGCGGACTCGACGCGAAGACATGCGCCGACAACCAGATGCAGTCGCTGTTGTCGAGAGTGCGATCCTTCGGAACGATCAGCACTGACGACGCTACGCTCTTGGTGGGCACAATTCGGGACAATGCGCTCCCAGACTGGTCCCCTGATCAGATTGCAGAAATCTGCACGGCGGTAGGGCAGAAGACGGGTGTGCTGACCAGCACCGCGGGTAAGAAGTGGCAGAAGGTAACTGCATTCTCGCGCTTCCTTTCGGCGTCTGAGGCGACCAAGTTAAAGAGCGGCGACATGTCGCAGAAGGCGATGATCGCCATGGCGTGCAAGAGGGCCCATGCGATCGGTATGTACACTCTGTCCGAGGGGAGCAAGGGTCAACTCGCAGCGGTGGTATCGTCCCAACTCACTGGCGTTACCAACGACATGTGGTGCGACATTCTGGTGCAGGTCACGCTGAAGCTGGCTACCATGAAGGCACGAGACTGGAAACACAGAACTATATGGGAATACGATTCTCCAGACTCCCTCGAGAGCGAATCGCGGTACTATACCGCGTACCCCGAGGGGGACCCGCCACGCGGACAGGACTGGTGCATCGACGAGCCCGACTCCGTGCGACTGAGCAGTCGCTTGATGCAGGGCGGCAAGCAAGCGGCCAAGCATGTGCGGGACGACCGCCCCGCCCCGCCGCCGCCGACCGCCCCGCCTCCCGCCATTTGCGACTTCGGCGCCTACCAATCCATGTGCGGGACGATGAACGCGTACCATATGTACGCTCATCCAGGAATGGTGCCTCCGCCAGGGATGGTGCCTGGCCAATCGCCACACTCTTGGTCGCCTCCGCCAGGGATGATGCCGAAGCCCAAAGCGCCACCGCAAGATGCGCCCTCACCACAGGAGGCGCCCCCGCCTGCGGCCCCACCAGCCGCGGGAGGAATGCCCGCCCCGCTCGGCGACTTATCTGATGAGGAGGCAGCGCTTCGCAAGACAATGCGCAAGCGTAAGGAGGCCGTGGCCCTGAGTAAACGTCCAGCAGCTGCTGGGGGCGATGCCGATGGCGTCGAGGGCGCCGACGACGATGGCGACGAACTCGCCGACGAGGAGGGGGGCCCGCCGAAGAAGGTCATGAAGGGCGCCCCGCCGAAGAAGGCCATGAAGGTGGTCATGCGGAGGCCCTCGGCGAAGCCGAGGCCCACGGCGAAGCCGAAGCCGCTGCCCAAGGCCCCGCTGACGGGGGCCCCGAAGATCGAGTACCGCGCGGGGTATATACTCACGCAGCCAGACAAGTCCCAGTACAGGGCTGTCCTGGGGCGGTCCGACAGGCGCATCCGCTGGGACACGGGCAGCGCGCGCCAGGAGGCTTTCACCAAGGCGATGAAGTTCATAGACGAGCGCTCGTAGCCGCTTGTCTGCTCTGCTCATCGCCGATCGCGACTTCTCGCGATTTGTTTCGCTGTGCTATAACGCTTGTGTGCATTGTTCATGTATGCCTGCATGGTGCAATGTAAAATGCAAGTCGTTGTTCCATCGTATGCGAGGGGCACCCGTCGCACAATCCTCTGTTGCGATTGCAGATATCGCATTCATGCTACCATCACTCAGTAGCAGTTTTGGCTCAAGCCATGTCGGCGGGGCCACCGAAGCGTCGCAAGACAGACGCCGAAGCACTGATTGAGTTACACAGAGGCCCATATGTATCTGAGCGGAGTCTTACATACATTCTCAAGTACGTACGAGATAACGGTATACCAGGTAACATTTCGCGTTATGCGCAGCACAGCGCAAGGCAGAAATTATTCGGTGCCGAATCGAACCAGTACGGTGACAGGCTTGTCGGCATTGATATGCCATTGAACAGCGGTAAGAGCTTCAAGAACTGGGCGCGCGCCCCTGGCCCGTACTTGTACTCGACGGCGAAACGGAATAATGGGGTTCAGAGATCTGTTGCGCCGCCGGCTCGCCAAGCACCCGTGCTCCCTAGCATCCCCATGGCGCATCTGCTTATATTTCGACGGTATCTCACCGCGTGACCCGTTGGCCAAGGGCAAAGACCACCGAGGGGTGGATGCTGTATACTGGTCGTTTCTAGAGTTCGATGAGTTGTTGCAGGACGAAGACGCATGGCTCGTGCTCAGCACCGCTCGGGTTTCCAAAGTGAGGGACGTGCCTGGAGGGATCGGGCAGTCGGTTGCAATGACGTGCAACGAGCTCATGTTCAATACGTCTGGCGGGGTGAACTTTCGTACGACTGGAGTTACCTTGGACGTGTCAGAAGCAGGGGATGCCACAAGGCACGCGACTATAATCGCGAGGTTGGGCTGCACTGTGGGCGACGAAGAAGCCCTCCGTGAATTCCACATGAACAAAGGGCACGCGGGCACCAAACCGTGTGCCATCTGCAGGAACGTGCTCAACCAGAAGTTCGACTATGCGTCGCACGACACGTCTGGTACATTTATATCGGACGCATGCCTCGACAGAAGCAAACGCGTCGTCAACACAGACGCGCAGATCGTTGCTATCTTGGAAAGGCTACGCCCCGACTGGGAGAGGTACGACCGCGGTGAGATTAGCGACAACAAGTGGAAGGAGATCACGCAGCTAAAGGGTTGGAACTTTCATCCGACGCACGTTGCCTTGGACGCCAACCTCGCCTACGGTGTCATGTCGCTCCTCTGCTTCGATTGGATGCACATCTATAGCGTCAATGGCATCGTAGCTAAAGAAGTGAAAGCTTTCACTGAGAACAAGGCGGTTTGCAAACTCTGCAGCGCCGAAGATCTCAACGACTATCTTTCAAACTGGACATGGCCCCACAAGTTTCATGCCGCCAATGCCGTGTTCGCACAGGGCGAACTACAAGCAAACGCATCGCAAGAGCTGTCTATGATTCCCGTGCTGGCGCACTTAATCAGGCAAGTCATTGCCAAGCTGCCTGATGCAGGCACCATGTCGGGTCATATTGCAAGTTTACTTGCACTGTGCGATGCCATTGATATGGTTATTCTCTCGTCCAGGGGCCTCGCGACTGCACGTGAGCTGGATGTCGCCGTGATGAAGCATTTGGAGCTACACACGCGCACATACGGGACTAAATATTGGGTTTACAAACACCATATGGCAACTCATCTTGCCGACATGTACTTCAAATTCGGACCCTTGGACTGCTTCGTCCACGAGCGGAAGCACAAAGTTTGCAAGAAGTTTGCAAAGGACCATCTGTGCATGAGGACCCCCGAGAAATCATTGATGATGCAGCTCACGGCGCAGCACAGATACGACATGGATCACTTCAGCATCTCAACGACGCTGGTCGACCCCGTAGCCGCCACCAAGAAGCTCATGGGCGTCTTGAAGGAGTTGCGCCCGCAAACGCAATCGGCATCATCGAGCCTCGCGGCGTGGACCAAGCACGGGCCGATCCATAGAGGAGACATATGCTTGCTGGGACGTGCTGCAGGGCATGCAGCCGTGCAGGTCTGGTTCCATGTAGATTGTGACACAGAGACTGCGCCCTCAGGAGCTCTATGCTTAGTCTTGGAATTGCAGACTCGGCACGTGCACAGCGCAGATTACTATTCTAGGTACTCCATAGACGAAGATAATAATCCCGTGCTCATTCCGTTGGACTCGCTGAGGCACCCTGTGATTAACAGGCGTCTCGGCGATGCAATCACTTGCGTTTGGCCAGTTGAGTATCACAAATTGGAATGCTGACGCGTTTGCGATGTAGAAGTATACATCTTCACATCAATGAATACATCTTCAAAACATCCCGCAAGAAACACAACATCGAAATTGAAACAACAACGCCCCAAAATCAAGTATATGTTAGCCGAAAAACTATCATGTTATCCGAAATAAATCAACATGCTAACTTTTATAAATGAGTTATAACTAAGTTATAACTCCGCCTAACAGTTACTAACTTCAAATGCCTTCAGGTGGGTGGGCCCATGGGGTCGTCCCTGCTGTCTTGGGCGCCGCTGCCGGCGCTCTCCTCGAGGGCGGAGCTTCCCGCGCCTCTCGCCGCCGGCCCTTGGTTGGGGCCACTGCTGTGTGCTGGGGCCACAGGGCCCGAGCCGCGGGCGGTGCTACCCGCACCCAGTGGCATTACTTCAGTCGGAGAAACATGTGAAACAGTGTGAGAACAAGTGGTATTAGGGGCTAGCCGCCCTCTTGGTGGTGAAACTTTGGCCTCCGACGGTCTTGCGGCTGGACCTGCCGGAAGAAACCCATGGATTCAGCGACCTTCGACTCGACCACGCTCCCCGTGGGCACCTGCGTGCCCCCGGTGCTTTTTAGCTTCTGGAACGCTGCGATCATCTGGTCTATCTCCATCGGGTTCGTTGCGGCCTCGGCGACTTGCTGTTTAGGCGCGCTGTTCTTCTTTGCCCGCAACTTCATGAGGAATATCCCGTTGGCGCGATTGAGAGGTGTCCTCTGCTTCGTGCCGATGTGCTTCACGTAACTACCGTTCTTCTGGAGAACAACCCGGTCCCCGTGGCCCACGAGATCACTGGCAGCAAGTAGCATGCGGCGGACCGGCCCGGCGCGGCTTTTCATGGACCGTTGCTGCCACTTCTCTGTCACGACCTGCAACTTTCTCTGGCCCTTGTCGGTGACCGTCTGGCCCCCTGCTGCGTTGTACTCGATGCCGCTCCCGTCGGGGTCGATAGGGTGGTCGCTGCGCATCTCCTCTGGCATGATGGTGACTGCGGCGCCGCTGTCCACGGCTGCTTCTATCACCTCATACTCCTGGTCATACTTCGGCGAGTAAAGACCCGACACCTCCAATCCTTCCTCCTTGACTGGTGCGCCTGGGATGTTGCATTCCTCCTCCTGTTCCTCCTCCTCGTGCTCCTCCTGCTCGCAGCACCTGCGTCCTCCTGCTGCTCCTCCTGCTGCTTCTGCTCCGCGCAGCTGCCTCCTCTTCTGCCTCTCTCTGGCCTTCTTCGGCGGGCGCTTTTTCGGCGGGCGTTTCTCAGTCGGCTCTGGCACGTCGGCGGGTCGACCCGCGCAGACTGCCGGCGGCTCGGGGGCGGAGTCTCCCACTCCGCTGGAGTCCAGGCTCTCGAGCGCCGTCCGGAAGATGTCGTCGAACAGCCCAGTGCCCTGCTCGGCCCTCTCCACCGCGCAGAGCTCGAGGCCCCCCACTTCCGGCTCCGGCTGGTCCTCGTAGTCCCCAGACGTCTCCATGCCGTGAAGCCCCTTCTTGCCGCCCTTCTTCGTCTTGCCGCCCTTGCTGCCTTTCGGCGCGCCCTTGCTGGCCTTGCCCGTGTTCGCGTGCCAGCAGTCCTTGCTCGCGTGCCTCTTCTTGCCACGCACGCCGCGTGGCTTGCTGTCGGCGTCGCGGCCTTTGCCGCTCGTGCAGTCCTTGCCCATGTGGCCCCGCTCCCAGCACTTGTTGCAGTAGCCCTGGAAAGGCTGCTTGCCCTTGCCGCCAGACGCCTTGCCCGCGTCCGTGCCCTTGCCTTTGCTCTTGCCTTTGCCGGCGCCCTTCTGTAGGCTGCAGATGTCCATCGGCGCTGGCTTGTCGAGCTGGCCGGCCCGGCGAGTCTCCAGGTACTGGGTGGTTTCTTCCACGACGTCGTCGTAGAAGTCAAACCGGTTTTGGTTCAACTGCAAGTGCTGCTTCAGTGGGTTCGGGCACATGGAAATCAAGACGGCTGTCTTGATATCGTCGTCAATCGTCTTCTTGGCCCTCTGCTGGTATCGGGTGATATCCTGCGTCCATGCTTCAATGGCGCTGCTGAGGTTCTCCACCTTCTGCTCTGGCTGGTTCAGAACCCGCATGAGGATGGACCTCTTGCGCCCCAAGTTCATGGGGTCCCAGCGCCGGACCAACCTCCTCCAGCTCTCGAAGCCGCGGTACTTGTGGCTCTCGCAGTTGCGCACGATCTCTTCGGACTCGCCCTCTACCAGCTGCGCCAGCACGGTGTACAGCTGGTTCTGGATGCGCTCTGCGTCGGGGTCGATCTGCTTCGCCTCCTCGATGCCTCGGATCGTGTCCTCGTGGCTCTGCGCCCACTCGTGGAGGTCTCGCGCAGTCGGGTACATGCTGGATATGAAATTCATGTACTTGAAGCAGAAGGAGGGCCAGTTGTCGCCGCGCAGCGGCTGTGGTTTCCCGATCCCTTTCGTGTCGACGAGACACGGCCTCTCAGAGGTCGTCGTCGTCGATGTCGACCGGGTACCGAGGCCCTCGAACGCGGCCATCATCCTCTGCAT